AAAAAGAAAAAGAAAAGAAAAGTACCATGTCCCAAGAGTACAAACTAGGGAAAGTCCTTAGAAGTTACAAAGGGGGAGGGGGGGGAAGAAAAGAACTGTCGAAAGTTCATGCCCTCAGAAGATAGAGGCTGCGGCAAACAAAAGAAAAAAAAAGAAAAAAAAGAAAAGGAAAAAGACAGAGGAAAGAAAGTTGAAAAATAGTTAAGTCGATTGTTTGAACTACGTTAGACCTGATTCCTTTAAAAAAAAGGATACGTAGGCAACCTCACGGTTCGGTCCAACCAAATAAGAATTCAAAAAAAAACCCAAAAAAATCCTCAATAGCTGAAACTGGGGCAGAGATTTTATTTTACTTTTGAAAGAGTCGATTCCAAGAGTTGTAAGTCCACAACCCCCTTTACTTTGAGTCTATTTTGAGCCTTCATGACGTCTTTTCTTTCCAACCCTGTCCAAAAACCTTCCAAATAAATACCTCCTGATCAACCTTCAAGAATGCCAAGAGATGCATGCAATGAGCAACAGTTATCACGCGACATAGACCACTGTCAGGTTCCTCACACAAGAAAGCAAAAGAAAAAGAAGAATAAAAGAAAATGAAAGAGTCTTACTAGTGAAAACCCTAACGGGCACAGTAAGGCGGCGGTAAGCAGAGATAAATAAATGAGAGACTTGTTGGTAAAACCCCCCCGGGGCATAGGGATGACAATTGGGACAGGGCGGGGCAGGGCGGGGCGGGGATAACCTTAAATGGGGCGGGGCAGGGGAAGAATTTAATGGGGCAGGGCGGGGCAGAGCAGGGCAAATTGTTATTTTTGAAAATTTTTAATAGGGCAGGGCAGGGTAGGGCACATACGGGTTAATAGCTGGGTCGGGTCCAAATAAGTTAGACCCGCGTACCCCAAAATCTTAAATCCCAAATGCTAAAATGCTAAAACCTAATTTCCAAACTCAGAAGTCAGAAACTCTCAATCTCTTGTGCGATTCTTCTTCCTCTTTGAACTGCTGCGAATCTGCGATTCTTCTTCCTCAAACCTTCTTCAATTATTCTCCTCCAGGAAATCCGGGTAAATATCTAATAAGTACACAGTTCTCTTTTTTCTGTAATAATTTCCATCATTTTGTCATGACCACTGGTCTTTTCCGGCCTAGTAATGGTGGTTCACTGATCAACAGACCTTTTTTGGAGAAGAACTACCTTGGACCAGGTCTACCGGTCTTTATTTGTCAGGTTCAGACTCGATTTCGTTGCTACTTGGTTTCTCTGATTCTATATTCTGTTGGGAGTTTTAGTCTTTTAGAAAATGATTCTTAGCTTCTCCTTCGAATTCTCATCATCATGTGATGATTCCGAAGTTGTCTCATCTGTAACCTTAGTACTGTTTGTTGTTGTAATCGTAGGTGGTGGTCTATGTCTTCTTATATGACCACCCAAAGCTTGTCCTGATGAGAATTCTACCCTACGAATCGTAGGTGGTGGTCTATGTCTTGTTAAAAAAGAGATTACCAACAGAACAATTAATTAGTTTCGTGGGATTTGGACAAAAGAGGTGGAGGTCATTGAGGAAGTATCGAATGAAAGAAGACAAGTAATCAGAATGGTAGATGGTTAGACTACTACAAAGAGAACATATAAGGTATTCTATGTTGCGCGGACTGTTGTCACACCCATGTTGGATCCTCCAAAATACACTATTCTTGGAGGATCTAACACGCACCTGACGACATGTTCCAAGAGTCCGAGCAACATAGAGGGCATTCGCTTCACGTGCATCATCTACTTAGAAAAAATCATCTCAAATCAAAATGCGGTAATCACAGAACTATAAAACAACTAGTAACGAAAGAAGATCAGTTTTGCTAAAGAAACTAAACAAGCATTCAAGACCACATGAAAAAGATGATGCCATAGTCGTAGAAAGCATAGTGCTTTGACTGGTGGGAGGTTTTATAGTACTGCAATAAAATATAACATGTGAATAGATGGCAAGGAAAGAGAACTTTAGATAACAAATACAGTGAAGTCACATGCTTACAGAAGAAGATTAGATTCTTCTGTTGAAATATAAACCAATAAATAACTGTTGTGTTAGCTTATAACTTTCAAATTAGAGCAATTATTTAAGATGTATGGAAATACATGAAGGAGTTTACCTTTCCTTGTCATTCGAAATTAACCAAGCTGTAGTAAGGGTCCAACAGTATGATTACATCTCCTCTTTGGATCTGTCAATCATCAGTAGTTTAATAACATCATTTACTTATTGTTCAGGCATAATACTACTGCAGAAGTTTAGCAGCAAACTGAGATGTAAATATGTGAAATATATCAATTTCTTAGCTAGCCTCTGCCTCTCTTATGATGTATTAATACCATCTTCTTTTATTTGTGTCCATTGAGATCCTGATGATAATACAAATATGCCAAAAAAACATCAAAACAGCACAGTGAAGTATGAAAAGAAAACCTGAACTTGTATATACAATTAATTCTGCCCTACAATTAATTGTTCCCCTTGGTGTGCACGGCTGGTGATGATTTTACTTCTTGTTCGAATATGAAAAGAAAACCTGAACTTGTATATAGAATTGTTGCAAATGTGCAGTTTATTTGAATGTTAAAGAGTAAAATGTGCTTGTTGGCATTGAAATTAAGGTGAAAAAGCTCCGCATTTCCTACTACAATTGTGTTTCTAAATATCAGTTTTTAGTGATATTTCTTGTCTTTGTTTTACTAGATACTCATGGCATCTCAAATTGAAGAGAATCTACCAGCTTCATCTACTAATGCTATTTCCTTAGATGATGAGAGTCAAAGGCCTTCACAACCTGATGAAGTTGAACTGAAAAAAAAGGAGATATTCCCGAGCATGGGATCATTTCGAGCCGGTGAAGGTTAAGGGTGTTCCATATGGTGCTTGTAAGTATTGCGATCGCCGGTATAAAAATGCTAGGAATCGTGGGACAAAATCTATGTTAGATCACATGCTTAAGTGTCCTAATAGGCCAAGAGATGCACAAAATGAGGGCGATACCGGGGGTGGTTATTTTGATCAAGATGTTTCACGTAAAAAACTTGCACATGCCATTATTTTACATGAGTATCCACTCTCTATAGTTGATCATGTGGGATTTAGCAACTTTGTTGCGAGTCTTCAACCTATGTTTAAGATGGTTTCCAGAAATACAATCAAGAATGACATAATAAAAATCTTTGACAATTTGAAATCGCAAACTTCTATGTTGTTGGAGAAAGTGACGAGTAGAATTGCAATAACAACCGATATGTGTACTTCCAATAGTAACAAAAAAGGGTTCATGGCTATTACTGGTCATTTCATTGATGATTCATGGAGGCTTCAAAGTCATATTTTGAGATTTGCTTATGTCCCTGCTCCACATGATAAAGATGCTTTGTGTGGTGCTTTGATTAATTGTTTGTTTGATTGGAATCTTGAACGAAAAATATTGACTATCACAGTTGATAATTGTAGCACAAATAATGCTATGATTAAAACTTTACTGGATGAGAAACTTAATAAAAAAGATTTGTTGTTGAGTGGTCGAGTATTTCATGTGCTTTGTGCTGCACATATTTTAAACTTGATTGTGCAAGAAGGGTTAAAAGTGATAGGAGATAGTATTAGCAAAGTGCGTAATAGTGTCTTGTATTGGATTGGATCAGCTGGCAGAATTGAGAGGTTTGAAGAAGCCGCATGTTTGCTTCACTGTTCTTGTAATAAGAAGTTGGAGTATGATTGTCCTACTCGGTGGAACTCAACATATTTAATGTTGAGAACAACTATAGAATACAAAGAGGTGTTTAACAAGTTGAGTCTAACTGACACAAATTATAAGTCGTATCCAACTGAAGAGCAATGGAGTAATGCAGAAGATGTTTCTGATAAGCTCAAACTTTTTTATCATATCACTGAACAGTTTTCAGGAACTCAATATCCAACTTCTAGTCAATACTTTACAAAAGTTTGTGAAATTAAGCTAGAATTAGAAGCTTGGGTGAAAGAGCTTAATCCTTTGATTAGCGATATGGCATCTGTGATGTTGTTGAAATTTAAAAAATATTGGGATGATGTGCATATTTTGATGGGAGTAGCTGCAATCTTTGATCCACGGTACAAGATGAGGTTGGTAGAGTTCTTTCTTTCACTAATTTATGGTGAAGAAGCTTCAACTTAAATTCAAGAAGTTCGATCCAATTGTTATGATCTCTTTCAAGATTATAAGAGTAAATTATCTGCTCCACATGATTCATTAGCATCTAGTTCTAGTGAAGTCACTAGTTTTACTCAGGGTGATCGGCTTTCGAGATTTGATAGATTTGTAGCTTCAACTGGAGCTACCGTGGAGAAAAGATCAGAGTTGGATATGTACTTAGAAGAAGACCTACTACCTCGAACCCCTTCATTTGACAATTTGAGTTGGTGGAAGACAAATGGATTGAAATTTCCTACGTTGCAAAAAATGGCTCGTGATCTCTTAGCCATTCCCGTGTCTACTGTTGCTTCAGAATCAGCATTTAGCACTAGTGGGAGGTTGATTAGCCCGCATCGGAGTAGACTCCGCCCCACTACTTTGGAACCTTTACTGTGTGCTCGCACGTGGTTATAGAATGACTTAAATGGTAAGTAATTTTCTTATTATTGTCTTAATAGGTATTCAATTGTTTAATTACTATATTGATACATTGAACTATGCATTTTTCCTTTTAGGTATAACTTCAACGGTTGATCAAGTTTCATGTCCAACACTGCTAAATGAAGAGGACAAGCCAGATTCAAGTGGTTTATCACAACTATGAGACCCTTGACATGCTTACATTCCTTTTGTTCCTCTCAAATTTGGATTGCCACATAGCTACTGTTGAATATTGACTGTTTTGTGGTGTAATTAGTGGTGTCGAGCTTGTATTGTGCAACTATGAGACCCTTGACATGCTTACATTCCTTGTATTTTTTTTGTTGGATTATTAGGTTGAGTTGTAACGACCCGGACGGTCGTTTTTGGAATTTACGCCCTGATCCCCTATTAACTGCTCTCCCCAAGTCTATTTCTGCTATTTTATTTGCCGGGAGGTTCGGTTTTGAGTTTCGGAGAGTTTTGGGACACTTAGTCCCTAAATGAGAGCTTAAGTGTTGGAAAACTGACCATAGTCAGAACAGTGTGAAGACGGCCTCGAAACGGAAATCCGATGGTTCCGTTAGCTTCGTTAGCTGATTTCGGGGTTGGGAGCGTGTTCGGAATGTGTTTTGGAGGTCCGTAGCTAATTTAGGCTTGAAATGCCGAAAGTTGGAATTTTGAAGTTTTCGATCCGGTAGTGAGATTTTGATTCGAGGGTCGTAATGGAATTCCGGAAGTTGCAATAGCTCCGTCATGTCATTTGGGATGTGTGTGCAAAATTTCAGGACATTCGGACGTGTTTTGGTTAGGATTTTGATCGAAAGCGTATTTTGAGAGAATTTGAAGTTCTTAGGCTTAAATCCTTGATTAATTCGAGTTTCCGACGTTGTTTTAGGTGGTTTAAAGAATGGTATAAGTTTGAATGATTTTATGGGATATGCTCGTAGTTTCGGTTGAGGTCCCGGGAGCCTCGGGTGTGTTTCGGATGCTCAACGGGGCATTTTTGTGTTGAAAAAAGTTGCAGGTTTTCTCTTCAGTTCTGTTGCAAGTTTTCCTTCTCTGCGATCGCAGCTTACCCTCCGCGATCGCATAGTGTAATTTCTGAAGGTGATGATTTTTGTTCTACGCGATCGCATTACCTGCTTCGCGATCGCATATGTCTGTTCCTTTCTCTTCTGCGATCGCATAGCTTGGGCTGCGTTCGCATACGCTATTTTCTCATTACGGACTTAGTATTTATTTTGATATCCTTGAGCTGTTGTTGTGTGTCTTAAATTGGGACTACGGGACGGTATCCCGAGAGATCCTCTGTGCGTAATTATGGTCTGGATTGAGGTGCGGGATACCAAGAGATCCCTGGCACGTGTATTGAGGATACCAAGAGATCCCTAGAGTGTATATTGAGGATACCAAGAGATACCGATTATTTATCTTGCTGTGAGGGGTCTTTTCCTTGTAGTTGTTTTTATCTCTGTTTCCGTTAATGCACTATTATTATACTGTGTAGATCTTTATTATCGATTCTCAGTTTTACTGCTTATTGCCCTGTCATTACATTATATATTTATTTATCTCAGTAGGGCCCTGACCTTCCTCGTCACTACCCATTCGAGGTTAGGCTTGGCACTTACTGAGTACCGCTGTGGTGTACTCATGCCCTTTCTGCGCATGTTTTTCATGTGCAGATCCAGGTACTTCCACCCAGGCGTATCACCCTTGAGGCAGGGAGCATTTCGGAGACTTCGAGGTACATCTGCCGCGTCCGCAGACCGAAGAGTCTTCTTCTTTACTCTATCTGTAGTGTTAGCCCTTCTATCGTACTATTGATGTAGACGTTTCTGGAGATTAGAGCACTTTACTGAATTCCATTTAGCTTGTGTTCCCCTGAGTTTCCGGGTTTTGGGATAGTAACGTAGGATGCTGTGATGTGGAGTTGTATATGCCGAGCGGCATTTTATATACTTTTTCTCCTTTAAATTGTTCAGTTTTGACCATTATTTCGCAAGTTAGTTATGTTTTCCGCATTGTTAGGCTTACCTAGTTATCGAGACTAGGCGCCATCACGACATGTTCACAGTGGGTGAACTGGGATCGTGACAAGTTGGTATCAGAGCTCTAGGTTCATAGGAGTCACGGAACACAGCCCAGTTTATTAGAGTCTCGCTGATCGGTACGGAGACGTCTGTACTTATCTACGGGAGGCTATGTAACTGTTAGGAAAATTCCACTTCATTTGATTTCCTTGTCGTGCGAGATTCTTGATATCACCACTAAACTTCTATCTTTCTATTCTCTTACAGATGGTGAGGACACGCGCTACCCGAGAGGATCAGGCACCTGCGCCCCCTACTGCAGCTGTCAGAGGTCGGGGCCGGGGTAGAGGCCGAGGACGCGCTCGTGGTGCAGCCAGAGCACCCGCGCGAGCTGCCGCCGAGGCACCACCAGCAGTACTAGCCGGAGTCCAGACACCCGATACGTCTGCCACTACTACTCCAGCACTCCAGGAGACTTTGGCACAGTTCATGAGTACGTACACCACTTTGGCTCAGGCAGGGTTGCTTCCCCTTGCTGCAGCCACATCCCAGGCCGGGGGAGGAGTACAGACTCCCGCCGCCCGCACTCCTGAGCAGCGAGTGCATGTTGAGCAGGCCCCAGAGGTTATACCTGCGCCGCCTGCAGTACCAGTTCAGCCCGAGGATAGGGCAGCGGCTTCAGAGGATGAGCAGCGGAGACTTGAGAGGTTCAAGAAATATGATCCTCCGGTATTTAGTGGGTTAGCATCAGAGGATGCCTTGGGATTTCTGGAGGAGTGCTACCGTATTCTCCGCACTATGGGCATATCAGGATCGAGCGGGTTTCCTTCACTACTTTTCAGCTTCGATGAGCCGCCTATCAGTGGTGGCGTGCTTATGAGTTAGACAGTCCGGATGAGGCAGCTTCCCCGACTTGTGCTGAGTTTTTTGATATGTTCACGGGGGAGTATGTTCCCCAAAGTCTTAGGGATGCTTGGCGCGCGGAGTTTGAGCATTTGCGCTAGGGTACTATGACCGTTTCAGAGTATGTTGTCCGCTACATTGACTTGGCTAGACATGCCCCAGCTTTGGTTTCCACGGTCCGCGAGAAGGTTCGCCGGTTCATTGAGGGGCTTATTCCTAGCATCAGATCTAGCATGGCTCATGAGTTAGAGACGGATGTGTCTTATCAGCAGGCGGTGAGCATTGCTAGGAGGATTGAGGGTATGCACGCTAGGGACAGGGAGGAGAGGGAAGCCAAGAGGTCTCGAGAGTCGGGCCATTTTTCTGGTGCCCGTGCCCCAGCTGCAGGTCGTCATGGTAGGGGTCATATGGGTCGCCCCGTTCATTCAGCTCTTCCAGCAGCCAGTGATATTCCAGCTCCACCTAGGCCTCAGGAGCCCTATTATGCACCTTCAGTCTCTAGTGCGCCTCCTGCACGGGGTGCTTCCAGTGGTCAGTCCAGCAGACCTGGCCCGAGCCAGTCACAGCCGCCACGTCCTCCTAGAGCTTGTTTTGAGTGTGGCAACACACGCCATGTAGTGAGGGATTGCCCCAGACTTGGGAGGGCTGCACCCCCACAGACCTTTCAGCCACAGCGCACCCCGCAGAGCTCTCAGGCTATGGTTCTAGCGCCAGCTGCTACTCCACCGGCCCAGCCAGCCAGAGGTGGAGGTCGGGGAGGTAGAGGTCGCCCTCGAGGGGGAGGCCAGGCCAGATATTATGCCCTTCCAGGCCGTACTGAGGCCGCCGCCTCCGATTCTGTCATCACAGGTACTATCTTGGTTTGTCACAGAGATGCATCGGTTCTATTCGATCCAGGCTCCACTTACTCTTATGTATCTTCTTACTTTGCTCCGTATTTGGGGGTACCTCGGGATTCTTTGAGTTCCCCAGTTTATGTTTCTACTCCTGTGGGAGATTCTCTTGTTGTGCACCGTGTTTACCGGTCATGTTTGGTTATTCTTGGTAGTTTTGAGACCAAGGCTGACTTATTATTGCTCAGCACGGTTGACTTTGATATTATTTTGGGCATGGACTGGTTGTCGTCCCATTATGCTATTCTTGATTGTCACGCCAAAACCGTGACGCTGGCCATGCCAGGTGTACCACGTATTGAGTGGAAGGGTGCCTTAGGTCACACTCCTAGTAGAGTTATTTCTTTCCTTAAGGCTCAGCGTATGGTTGAGAAAGGTTGTTATGCGTACTTAGCTTATGTGAAAGATGCCAGTATAGATACTCCTTCTGTTGATTCAGTCCCAGTAGTACGGGATTTTCCCGATGTGTTTCCAGCTGATCTTCCGGGCATGCCACCCGACAGGGACATTAATTTTGGCATTGATCTGTTGCCGGGAACTCATCCCATCTCTATCCCTCCGTACCGTATGCCTCCTCCTAAGTTGAAGGAGTTGAAGGAGCAATTGCAGGAATTACTTGATAAGGGTTTTATTCGGCCCAGTGTATCGCCTTGGGGTGCTCCTGTGTTATTTGTGAAGAAGAAGGATGCTTCTATGCGCATGTGTATTGATTACCGCCAGTTGAACAAGGTTACAGTGAAGAACCGTTATCCTTTGCCTCGTATTGATGATCTGTTTGACCAGCTTCAGGGCACACGGGTGTTTTCTATGATTGATTTGCGCTCAGGTTACCATCAGTTAAAGATTCGGGAGCCAGATATCCCGAAGACTGCCTTCAGGACTCGGTATGGTCATTACGAGTTCCTTGTTATGTCTTTTGGGCTGACCAATGCCCCAGCAGCCTTCATGCACCTGATGCATAGTGTATTCTGGCCATATCTTGACTCTTTTGTCATTGTCTTTATTGATGATATTCTGGTATATTCCCGGAGTCGGGAAGATCACGAGGAGCACCTGAGGACAGTGCTTCAGACTCTGAGGGAAAAGAGATTATATGCAAAGTTTTCAAAATGTGAGTTTTGGTTGGATTCTGTGGCATTCTTGGGTCACGTGGTATCGAGTGAGGGGATTCGGGTTGATCCTAAGAAGGTAGAGGCAGTGCAAAGTTGGTCCAGACCATCCTCAGCTACAGAGATTCGTAGTTTCCTTGGCTTGGCGGGCTACTACCGTCGTTTTGTGGAGGGGTTTTCATCGATTGCATCCCCTATGACTAGATTGACCCAGAAGGGTGCTCCATTTCAGTGGACAGAGGAGTGTGAGGCGAGCTTTCAGAAGCTCAAGACAGCCCTGACTACAGCCCCAATTTTGATATTACCTACCGGTTCGGGGTCCTATACTGTCTATTGTGATGCCTCGAGAGTTGGCCTTGGAGCGGTATTGATGCAGGACGGTAGGGTGATTGCCTACGCGTCCAGAAAGTTGAAGATACACGAGAAGAATTATCCTGTCCATGATCTTGAGTTAGTTGCCATTGTTCATGCCTTGAAGATCTGGCATCATTACTTGTACGGTGTGCCTTGTGAGATATATACTGATCACCGGAGTTTGAAACATCTGTTCAAGCGGAAGGATCTTAATTTGCATCAGAGGAGGTGGCTAGAGTTGCTAAAGGATTATGACATCACTATCTTGTATCACCCGGGCAAGGCCAATGTGGTGGCCGATGCTTTGAGCTACCGGGTAGAGAGTTTGGGGAGTTTGGCTTATTTATCAGCAGCAGAGAGGCCTGTGGCGATGGATGTTCAGGCCCTAGCCAGCCAGTTTGTGAGATTGGATCTTTCGGAGCCCAGCCGGGCTCTAGCTTGTGTGGTCTCTCGGTCTTCCTTGTTTGATCATCTAAGGGAGCGCAGTATGATGACCCTCATTTGCTTGTCCTCAAGGACAAGGTGTTACATGGCGATGCTCGTGATGTAGCCATTGGTGATGACGGAGTATTGAGGATGCAGAGTCGAGTTTGTGTACCCAATGTCGATGGGCTTCGGGAGTTGATTCTAGAGGAGGCCCACAGTTCGCGGTATTCCATTCATCCGGGTGCCGCGAAGATGTATTAGGATTTGAGGCAGCACTACTGGTGGAGGCGGATGAAGAAGGATATAGTTGGGTTTGTAGCTCGGTGCCTTAATTGTCAGCAGGTGAAGTATGAGCACCAGAGACCAGGTGGATTGGTTCAGCAGATAGAGATTCCGGAGTAGAAGTGGGAGTGGATCACCATGGACTTCGTATCTGGACTTCCACAGACTTTGAAGAAGTTCGATGCCATTTGGGTTATTGTGGATCGGCTGACCAAGTCCGCACATTTTATCCTTGTGTGTACTACTTATTCCTCGGAGCGGTTGGCGGAGATTTATATCCGGGAGATTGTCCGTCTGCATGGCATTCCAGTTTCCATTATTTCAGACAGAGGTAATCAGTTCAAATCGCGGTTCTGAAGAGCCGTACAACAGGAGTTGGGTACTCGGGTGGAGTTGAGCACAGCATTTCACCCTCAGACGGACGGACAGTCTGAGCGCATTATTCAGATCCTTGAGGATATGCTCCGTGCGTGTGTGATTGAGTTTGGAGGTTCTTGGGATCAGTTCTTGCCATTAGCGGAGTTTGCCTACTACAACAGCTATCGGTCCAGCATTCAGATGGCATTGTACGAGGCCTTATATGGTAGGCGATGCAGATCTCCGGTGGGTTGGTTAGAGCCAGGTGAGGCCAGATTACTGGGCACAGATTTGGTTCAGGATGCCTTGGAGAGAGTCAAGGTGATACAGGATAGACTCCGTACAGCCCAGTCCAAACAGAAGAGTTACGCGGACCGGATGGTTCGTGATGTTTCCTACATGGTTGGGGAGCGGGTTCTGCTTCGGGTTTCGCCTATGAAGGGCGTTATGAGGTTTGGAAAGAAGGGGAAGTTGAGTCCGAGGTTTATAGGCCCTTCTGAGATATTGAGGCGTGTTGCGGAGGTTGTTTACGAACCTGCCTTACCTCCCAGCTTGGCAGGAGTTCATCCGGTATTTCATGTTTCTATGCTCCGGAGGTATCACGGTGATCCGTCGCACGTGTTGGATTTCAGCTCAGTCCAGTTGGAGAAGGATCTTCTTATGTTGAGGAGCCAGTGGCAATATTGGACAGGCAGGTCAGGAAGCTGAGGTCGAAGAACATTGCGTCCGTGAAGGTTCAGTGGCGGGGTCAGCCGGTCGAGGAGGCGACCTAGGAGATCGAGCAGGATATGCGCAGCCAGTACCCTCATCTTTTCACTACCTCAGGTATGTCTTTGTGCTCGTTCGAGGATGAACGAATGTTTAAGTGTGGGAGGATGTAACGACCCGACCGGTCATTTTTGGAATTTACGCCCCGATCCCCTATTAACTGCTTTCCCCAAGTCTATTTCTGCTATTTTTATTTGCCGGGAGGTTCGGTTTTAAGTTTCGGAGAGTTTTGGGACACTTAATCCCTAAATGAGAGCTTAAGTGTTGGAAAACTGACCATAGTCAGAACAGTGTGAAGACGGCCTCAGAACGGAAATCCGATGGTTCCGTTAGCTTCGTTAGCTGATTTCGGGGTTGGGAGCGTGTTCGGAATGTGTTTTGGAGGTCCGTAGCTAATTTAGGCTTGAAATGCCGAAAGTTGGAATTTTGAAGTTTCCGATCTGGTAGTGAGATTTTGATCCGAGGGTCGTAATGGAATTCCGGAAGTTGCAATAGCTCCGTCATGTCATTTGGGATGTGTGTGCAAAATTTCAGGTTATTCGGACGTGTTTTAGTTAGGTTTTTGATCGAAAGCGTATTTTGAGAGAATTTGAAGTTCTTAGGCTTAGATCCTTGATTAATTCGAGTTTCCGACGTTGTTTTAGGTGGTTTAAAGAATGGTACAAGTTTAAATGATGTTACGGGATATGCTCGTAGTTTTGGTTGAGGTCCCGGGAGCCTCAGGTGTGTTTCGGATGCTCAACGAGGCATTTTTGTGTTGAAAAAAGTTGCAGGTTTTCTCTTCAGTTCTGCAGCAAGTTTTCCTTCTCTGCGATCGCAGCTTACCCTCCGCGATCGCATAGTGTAATTTCGGAGGGTGATGATTTTTGTTCTACGCGATCGCATTAGCTGGTTCGCGATCGCATAGGTCTGTTCCTTTCTCTTCTGCGATCGCATAGCTTGGGCTGCGTTCGCATACGCTATTTTCTGAGCCTTTAAAATTTACTCTTCGCGATCGCATAGAACCAAATGCCTGGGCAGATATAAACATTTCAAAACGAGGGTTTGGCCATTTTTACCAAAACTCAAGCTTGAGAGCTCGGATTTGAGAGAGATTTCGAGGGTTTTTCAGGGACAACGATTGGGTAACGATTCTATACTCTTTTTTGCTTATAACCCACTAATCTAAGCGTAAATTCCTCTTTTAATTTCGGATTTTGAATGAAAAATTGATAAAACTTCATAGACCGAATTATTGAGTTTTGAGTGGGTGTTTGACCTCCAATTTGAGAGATTTTTATATGGTTAGACTCGTGAGAGTACGAGGGTTCTGAAAATGTTAATTTCATCCGATTCCGAGACATTGGCCTGAGGGCGTTTAGGTCATTTTACCTAATTTCGCGTCTTAGCTTTGAATTAAATCGTAGAATCAGTTGCTTGAGATGTTATTTACGATACGTACTTGAATTGAATAGATTTGGGCCATTCGGAGTCGGATACTCGTGGCAAACGTGTGGTTTCGAGTTGATTTTGGAGCCGGCTCGAGGTAAGTGGCTTGTCTAACCTTGTGTGGGGGACCCTCTCCCCTTAGGATATGATATTTGGTATTTGAATGCCTTGTACGTGAGGTGACGAGCACGTACTTGAGCTAATTGTTGAAAATCCGATTTTACTTTAAGTGCTTAAACTGAGTTCTTTTCTTACTTGCTTTATTCTACATGCAAATATAGCCTGTGTTAGTTTAGAAGAGTATGATTAGTTGAGATAAATTGCCTATTTGCTTAAACTGCCTTAATTGCATCACGTGAAGCATGTTAGGCTAGAATTTACTGTTTACTCATTACGGACTTAGTATTTATTTTGATATCCTTGAGCTGTTGTTGTGTGTCTTAAATTGGGACTACGGGACGACATCCCGGGAGATCCCCTGTGCGTAATTATGGTCTGGATTGAGGTGCGGGATACCAAGAGATCCCTGGCACGTGTATTGAGGATACCAAGAGATCCCTGGCATATATATTGAGGATACCAAGAGATCCTCGGGATACCAAGAGATCCCTAGAGTGTATATTGAGGATACCAAGAGATCCCGATTATTTATCTTGCTGTGAGGGGTATTTTACTTGTAGTTGTTTTAATCTCTGTTTCCGTTAATGCACTATTATTATTCTGTGTAGATATTTATTATCGATTCTCAGTTTTACTGCTTATTGCCCTGTCATTACATTATATATATATTTATCTCAGTAGGGCCCTGACCTTCCTCGTCACTACCCAACCGAGGTTAGGCTTGGCACATACTGAGTACCGCTGTGGTGTACTCATGCCCTTTCTGCACATGTTTTTCATGTGCAGATCCAGGTACTTCCATCCGGGCGTATCACCCTTGAGGCAGGGAGCATTTCGGAGACTTCGAGGTACATCTGCCGCGTCCGCAGACCGAAGAGTCTCCTTCTTTACTCTATCTGTAGTGTTAGCCCTTCTATCATACTATTGATGTAGACGTTTTTGGAGATTAGAGAACTTTACTGAATTCCATTTAGCTTGTGTTCCCGTGAGTTTCCGGTTTTTGGGATAGTAACGTAGGATGCTGTGATGTGGAGTTGTATATGCCTAGCGGCATTTTATATACTGTTTCTCCTTTAAATTGTTCAGTTTTGACCATTATTCCGCAAGTTAGTTATGTTTTCCGCATTGTTAAGCTTACGTAGTTGTCGAGACTAGGCGCCATCACGGCATGTTCACAGTGGGTGAACTGGGATCGTGACATGAGTCCATCTCTCTTTTTATATAAACTTTATGTTCTGTGAGACTTTTGGAATTAGCACTTTTATGTCTGAGGTATATTACATTAGCAGTATATCTCAAAATGTTACTGTGCGAGCCATGAGATTTTTATCGAAATGTGTAATTTCAGTATGCTCTTGCCTGCAATAAATGTCATATTATAGTCCAAGTTGAATGATGGGAAATTTAATTTGCCTGCATAGGATAATTCAGAAAAAGTTCTGCTGTGATCAAAAGAAAGAACTAAACATGAAGAGTCTTCAGGAAGGATGAATGAATATTGTTTTTGCTTTTACTACTAAAACGCAGAATATCAACTAATGTATGCAAATACATATACTTGGATCTCGGACACTTGGGATATGCGTTAGTATATAGATCA